AATGTGATAGAAGAGGTTTCCGTGTCAGAGAGTAAAAATGATGTGTTCTAAAACTGCCTCCTGCTACTCTCGTAGAAGTTTGTGGCTGCTAATATCAAGGAAGTTCTCTTCAAACAGTGTTTTACAGACCAGATTGTTATCGTGTGGGAGTCAAAAAACCTGTTTCCAGTCAGATTATAGGAAAGCCTGTACAGAAAACATTCATCATCAGTCAAGGTATTTCACAACAGGAAAATGTTTAATGTTGGGTAAAAAATTGGACGAGACATTACCAGAAATGGATGATAATCAGACATTCACGACGATATATAAACACCCATATGTACCTTCATTTGCATTGATCTCAAAGGTTAAATCGGTTGTGTACGTTTTTGCCTTAGCGGACATTGGGTATGGTTTAACCACATTCCAGTCTCCAGATGCCAACCTCACATTGTATATCACAGGGTTAATACTTTCGATGCTGGCTGCCATTAATTTGACAGTTTTTAGTCAATATGCATCTAATTTTGTTGGAATTATCCAAGTTAATGAAGCTAATAAGAGAGTCAAAGTATCTCATCTAAATTTTAGGGGAAATAGGAAGGATTTATTTATGGACACTAAGGATATTGTGCCCCTGTCGGAGACTTCATATACTGATGACAACAAAGTGCCTTTCCTCACAAAGGATGGCACTGTCAAACTTCGTATGTCCTTTTCCAAAGGCCACGTCCTAGATCATGACAGGTTTTATAAACTCTTATGTTAAATATGATGGAATTAATTTAAAAAAAGTGCTGTGAATTCATATTTCCATATACATGTATGTGTGTCAAATTTTTTTTATGCCCCCGCCATTTATGGCCGGGGGCATATAGCATTGCCCATGTCCGTCCATCCCGTCCCGTCCCGTCCCAAATCAGTATATACCACCTAACAACTTCATTCGGAAGGCAATTTTCATGAATCTTCATACAAATTTCAAGTATGGAAAGACCTCATACAGTGTTGAATTTCTCGGCATTCTAAAAAAAGATGGCCACCATGGGGAGATAACTCAAAAAAGAGGAACATCATCTTATTTCTACATAATTTGGTACTTGTGGGTTTTAAGGCATAAGGAACTAATATACTCCCTCATTTTTTCCAGAGAACAAAATTCCAACTTGTCAATTTAAGTATGAAACTTAAGTTGTACATAGTTGCATACAAATTAACAAAATCATCTCTTTCGGACCTTTCACTATTATTTCACATGGGGGGACCGGGGCATTCATGTCTTACAGACATTTTCTAGTTTTTTTTCAAATAAAATTTTTAATGTCATGAATTTGTGTTTTTATTTAACATTTCCAAAAGAATTACTTAAATTACTTAAGAATTTATAAAGTATGAAGTATTTGATTAAATTCGAAATATTAAGAGTATGTAAAATGTGTTAAATAGTCATAGCTGTTTATGTACAGACAGGTTAAAACTGACATGTATACAGGAATTTGTTTTAACAAATACATTATACATATTTTGGAAATAAAATTAACATTGAACAACTTCACACTAAAGTACCGATGCTGTCACAGATAATCCGATTACTCGATCTTGCAGATATTCTGCAACTACTCCAAAACTACTCTTACTGCGACTACAGATGCTCTACAACCACTGAGCAGATTGCTCGGCAACCACTCAAATAGCTGTCATTTTTATACGCCCGTCTTATGGTATGGCGCTGTCCGGCGTCCGTCATAAACTTTTATTTGTCCGGAGATCACCTCCAACATTTTTCAGCCGATCTTTATGAAACTTGGTAGGCTTAATCACTATGATATGAAATTGTGTTTTCCTGAACAGGGTTTTGATTAGACGATTTTAATAAGAGTTATGTCCCTTTGTTTATTTCACTATAGAAATCTTGTCCAGAGATCTCCTCCAACATTTTTCAGCCAATCTTTATGAATCTTGGTAGGCTTAATCACCATGATATGAAATTGTGTTTACCTGAACGGGGTTTTGATTAGACGATTTGAATAGGAGTTATGCCCCTTTGCTATTTTGGATTTTCACGGGCGTATTTTGTTCCGCTTTGCGGTACTCTTGTTATACATGGGGGCCATTAGAGAAACCATAAATTCCCTATGGTTGTGTCATATCTATTGTTAATAGGAAGAGGGATCTCTGTAATTTCCCACATGATGCACAGTGGCATATTTAGATTTTGAAACAAACAAGCAGAAATAGGATTTTGTACTTATAGGTGTAAAATATGTTATGTTTTGTATAATCTCTATATATGTTTACTTAAAATCAGCAGAAATTTGTTGCCTTTAAATTACCACTACATAAAAAATGTATCCAACTGCATTCATAATACCATAAATCCAATAAAAAAATGCTGTCTGATCCTAATTGTTGTTAAAATGTACAATGTGCAATGTACATGTAAATCACATTTTCGATAAATCACATTGGTTAATAGTTCCAAATTGTGAGGCAATTTTGCATTGCATGGTAATGTAAAATCTCACCCGTTCTTTAGGGAAGAGGTTATGACTAGTGTATTGCATGTAACACTTGACTGGACACTGTCCTGGATTGTTAGTTGAAGCTGAATATCTTGTTGATGTGAAAATTGTGCCTCAAGTTGTGACATCATTTAGGTCTTTTTTTTCAAAATCCTGGATCTGCAAAGTCAGCCTTTCAACAGGGAGTTGTTACTATTTTTAACCTGTTGAACAGTTTCCTAATTTTGTATGTAAGCTGTAAATTAAGCCTGATTTCCCATACTACAATAAACATGTTTCAGTTGAATGTGTCAATATCACAATTTTTATGTAAAATAACCATTAAACTGGCAACACAGGGTTTTTTTTTCCAATATTTAAATTTGATGACAATGTGTAAGCTTACAATCATGATCTTTTTGATTGCCAAATGCTGTAAATGTAATTTGTTTTGGGAAAGGGCTTAAATAATGTTGTACTCAATCCTGTTGCTGATGATTATGACAATATTTTATGTTTGAATCAAAAATTAAAAAAAATATAAATCTACACAGGGATTTGAGTGATGCAGGTTGTGAAAAATTTTGGGGACGTTTCATAGTTGACACAACAATCCCCCACCGCCCTCTTTTAGGTCATCTGACCCCCAAGGGTCAGGATGACCAATAGTCTTTGTGTTGTGGTGCACCATCTGCCGTCCATTGTCCACTGTGCAAAAATGTTCCATTCAAATGACTTCTTCTCAATAACGAAAAGCCCCAGGGTTCTTATATGTGGCATGTGGCATGATGGGATGAAGGACTACCAAGTTTGTTCATATCATTGACCCTGAGCCACTTTCAACAAGGTCACATGTGTCAAATATATCGAAATATGTGAAGTAAATGTGCAATGATGCATGTACCGAAATATGCATACGGTAGTTCCGAAACAATAAATTTGATCAACTCTATATATTTATTTTTACATTTATCTACTTAAATATGCATGTCGTAGTTTGAAACAATTTGGTGTATCATTATGGCGCAAAGTTATTTTAAAGTTGATTTAGAAAATCTGTCTTCCTTCAATATTCATTATGATTGTACAAAAGATGTTTGGTCCTAGGGCTAGTCAGTGGTGGTGCATCATACAATTGTTTTGTCCATCTTGGACTAGTTATGGCGCTAAGACCCTAAATAAGTATATATGTACCACGTTCTTTGAAAGTTTAGATTTATTTACTTCATTTCATTTACAGCGTTAAAACTCGTCGATCATACCGTTGTATTATACACTCAACGAATTTTAAACGTGACATCCTACATATGATTATTGTAAACCATATCTGGTCAGTATGACACAGTACTAGTATGTAATCAGACAAATCGTCAAACATATACCTCAAGATATCCATTATGGCGCACAGTTTTTTTCCCCCGCGAACCGCTTTTTTAAAAGGCGCCAAATTGCTATTTGTATCTGAACACAGTGTGCTGCGCTGGACAACATTCACTATGCGTTCTCCAATCAACGTCAAATTGCAATGTAGGCACTTACTATAGAACCACACAACTGTCCAATCTGTACGTTAAATGTAGGAGCCATCAATTTGGATTATCACAGATCATCGGTATACGTGTTTAGCGACACAACACATTTGGAAGTGCGACTGATCGCCCTCGTCCTCGAAGGCAACGTATAAAGCTCCCATCTTCAATCTTAATGTCAATCATTTACTAAGCGAGCGACGATTGAGACTTTCGCGGGCCACTTTTCTTAGCCACAAAGCATAATGCTTTCCACAAATATTTCATTGTATTCTGCATTGTAAGAACACTGCCATGCCTACACAATTACACACTTAAAGCCAATTAAGGAGCAACAGATAGCAATATAGACACGCAGAATGCAGAATAATACGAGGTAACATCGCCACAAGTTTCACTACATATGGGCTTGGTATCAGATTTGATCAACGTGGAGTTCCGCTGACATCCGTGACTAAATTAAGACATGGATTATCTGGAATTATAATGCGTTGTTATCGATGCCATCAACGCTTAGATTTATTCTACAACTGCACCAACGCCACCAAAACCACCAAATAAGGGCATAGGCGCAGATTTCACTAACGTCGAATTCCGCTGGCGTCAGTGACCCAATTAAGACATTCGTTGGCGGGAGCTAATAACGCTTAATTGCCGATACCTTCAACGCTTATTGGGGGAAAACATGAATAACATTTGTTTTTGTTTTATGAATGATACGTAAGAACGTTTTATGGTTGATTAAACATCTCAGATTTACAGTTTGTTAATTGTAATGATAAGCCACCTTTACTTCTCAAATTTATAGATTTTATAAACGACAAAATTTCCAATGAAACAAGTTGTTGGCCAGGATGGAAACAGATTATCCGGAGAAATTAAGGTGTCGAGCAGACGACTCGCACACCTTTTCAGTACGATCAAGAAATCGATCAGATTTGATAATTAATGTACAAGAACAATGACAAACAATATTTGATGTCTGGATCACCCGTGGAACTGGCATATACCCCGTTATTCAATATATATATTTAGGGTATGTTGCCTTGTAAGATTGTTGTCAATTTGTCCGTGTCGATATTACCACCAGACACCACACACACAATATTCCCTTTTCCGGCTTTTCCTGACAGGGCAGCCGCGAGAGGGGCTGCGCCTGCACCTTCAGCAATCACGTGGTTTCTTTCGGCCATCAGTTTCAAAGCGTCAACAACTTCCTGTAGTTTTACAACAATAGAGTCGTCAAGAAGTTTACGAGCCAGGGGCCACATTTCTGTCAGGACCGATTTTCCTCCCATGCCGTCAATAAAGGAAGCCTTGTAATCAAATTCAACGGGTCGGTCCTCTGTCATAGATGCCTTTAGAGGAGCCGCTGTGTCCACTTCGCATGCGTAGACCTTCACATCTGGTTTAAGTGCCTTGATAGCTGATGCAATTCCACATGACAAACCTCCCCCTCCATAGGGAGCAATGATAGCATCAACTTCTGGCAAACTTTCAAATATTTCCAAGCCAATAGTTCCATTTCCTATAAAAAAAATTAGAATCTTATGATAGATAATTTCATGGTAGATACCATACATTAAAATCTGAAACACGACTTTTCATGACAATTTCAGAGAATCTAGCGCAATCAAAATGTTGGCACACATACTGGTAGTTAAGCCCAATGCAGTTGCCTCTGTGGATGCTAGCGTGACTATTGACAAAAGTAGAAGTGTGTCATTGGAATGTACTGACAATTCATTTTGACATGTATATATATAAACCTGATATAGTTAAGATATGGCTGACCTATTTTCTTTACCTGCTATGACTGCTGGGTCAGACACCGGATGCACAAACGTCCCTGCCATCCCATCAAAGTTGTGCGTCTCTAAAACTTTCCACCACTCGCTAAACGGGACCTTTACAATCTCGCCCCCAAGTCTCTTTATCGCCGAGAGTTTGGCTGCTGGGGCGTGGTCAGGGACAATCACATTGCATGGTATACCTAGCTTCTGTGTATTCCAGGCCAGGCCCTGAGCGAAGTTCCCAGCACTTGCGGTATAAACTCCGTCTTTAAGTTGATCAGCTGACAATTTCCCCAAGACGTTGCAGGCTCCACGTAATTTGAAGGAACCGATCGGTTGAAGATTTTCTAATTTTAGATATATCTGTTAAAACAATAATTATTTTGAACAGAATATGCATCGTTTTAATTCAACATACTTTTAATAAGGTGTTGTATTTTCCGAAATGACAACTTGATATCTCATTACTATCACGGTATAAGCTTTTTCACCTTTCCTACAACTGCATACTTTGTTTAAGACACTTCACTTCTTATTTAAATTTCTTTCTTATAAAATTTAACATGAATAAGTATTTCTTTAAAACAAATAATTGTCTATTCTATATTTTTATACTTTTGTATATATCGTCACCAAAGTCCTTTCCTTATGTAATGTGTTATCTCTGCACCCCGACATGATATCGCGTTTTACAACGACGTTTATCAGATCCGGGTTTTGCCTAGGTCACAGTAGAAGCAGTATATGATTTAGAACTGATAAAGTTAGATCAAATGAAAACTGACCCTGATTTATCAAGAATTTTTGCTTATTCAGGACGTAATATATCACAATACATTACAGACTTAAATATTCCTGAACACTTCGTAAAGATTGGAATTGTTAGATTTTGTTTTAGAATTACTAATTTTGTATGGTCACGTTCGTGGTGTTTTTATTATCTTTTTTGTAAAGTTAAGTTTCGAAATGAGTTGTTTTATCTCAGTATTTGCTAAAGAATTAAATGTGTTTTTACATTAACTCCCTGACTTTAATTTAATAAACTGTTTTGGGGTGTTCCTCACTACAGAATGAATAAAAGTTTTGAACTAATGTTCATTGATAAATTTCTTCAAATATATCGACTATAATTTAGGTTACTCTAAATATGCACTTTGTAAATATGTTATAAGTTTGTTTAATATATCATGTCTAAGATAGTGATAGTAAAATACTTTATTGATTGATTGATTGATTGATTGTTGACTGATAGGTCTATTACATGATAACAAATCCGTTATTAAACCCACATTTGATAATCTCGTGACTTGTCTATAAAATTAAGCACATCATGTCTACCGTGTATAACATAACCTAATATTTCATTATCACTACTTGTGACAATTTTATACCACATTTTCAGTTTCTCATTTGACAAAGCATATTACCCTACATATTATGAGTTAGTGCCCAGATTTGAGTTTTTTATGGGTTAATGCACCTCGCAATCTAGGTTTTGATTTTTTTTTAAATTTAATTTTGATTTATCTCTGGCGCCTCATAGCCTTCAAAGTTCGTGTTGAAAGATGTTATCCTCTCATTAAACCCTGGGAGTACAGTTGCTTTGATCGGGAGAGCATATAAGAATGTGATATCATGTCCCACATAACCGATTTCAGGCTGTTAGTTCACCTCTCGTACATAAACAAACAGGTGTCTTTTGCAATCGTATGTAGTTACGTTAACTAAATAATTCGGACTGCGGTGAAGTGGCTCAGGTGAGGGTCTGGACAATGAGAAGTAATGGAATGCAAAATCATTTTTTCCTTTTAGAATCAAGAATATTTATGAAACTGTGCCGTTCATAGGTAGAAGTCATAACATGTCACTCGGTGAAAATACGTGTCGTGGAAACTACAGTCTAAAAGTATATTACATTGCTAAATGTATATGCTTAAATATTGAGAGGCTGTCCTCTCTCTCAACTGACCACTATACACCACTATATATATATATATACACACGTCACGTCCGTGGCCTTAATGTAGTACCTGGTCATTTTCTCCACCACGCACATATAAGTAGTTTATGCAAGTTACATAAATCACCTACATTTATATCAGGGACCAGGTAATTCAGTGGTATAAGAGGACTGCTCCCGACCTTTCCGTCCAGTCTCTTCCGTGCTCCCTCTATATCCTCGAGAGAAATTGTGTTAGTAGTGTAATCCATAGCAGGTCTATGTTTGCCGAGTGACTCGCCGACAATGCTAATACGCCCATGTACTATTACGATTGGGGCAACACGTGACTTACAGCGCTATAACACAAAAATGGAGATAGAAAACGTCGATTCGCGGTAAGTTTTAAGATTTTCGACTGTATTGTGCACGGGACACGCAATTTCGAGTAGTTGAGGGGCTTTTTATGGTTGTCGCGGAATATAGAATTTATAGAATGATTACTAAACTCTAAATTCCACCTTTATAAATACAGCTGTGGGATTGCACAACGTTACACTGTATGCGATGTACGCACGACGTCTGCACAATGTGCCCACAATGTATGAGCGAAAAATGCACCATAAGAAATTCGGACACAATCATCTAGTTTACTATCGCACAACGACAGCCATTTCTATCGTGGTCCTCATAATTTAGAAATGTCGTGATGTTCAATGTATATGATTTATTTCTTTTCTAAACACGTAAGACTATAGCTAGGAGCTAAGTATACTTCCTAATTCAGTCATATTATTATAGGTCAGACAATTATACATACCAAGTACATAACGAGCTATATTTACAAAGTGGTATGTATGACCGGTCTTAGCGTACAGCCAGTCATTACATACAAAGTATACGTAAACATTAAATGGACGTCTCCCTTTGTCACCGCAATGAATCGTCTAAACTGTTATACCGTTGACGATTTCTTTCGTTGGTGTCGGAAAGCTGTGACATGAAAATTGGAGCACTTTTAATTTTGAGAAGACTGTAGGTAACAACGAAAGATGTTCCCCATATCCATTAAAACACAATAGTTCCTCATACTTCCGTTAAGAGAATTAAAAAAACAAATATTCTGAAATACATAATTATATGCTACAATGATAAATTATAAGGTGAGATTTGTAATGGCGAGGTGTCCAATCCTAACGGTTTTGTGGAAATTATGTCATATTGTCTTCAAAAACTCATTTGTCATTATTTTACTTGGATCGCACATATATACTCGAAACTGCTTGTCGCGTGCACACGTGAAACTTAAAATTTAAAAAAAAAAATCTAAAAATCTTGAAGCGACCATATAAATTCTTGTATTCATTCGATGTTTACCTTAAATTGCAGAGTGCCTTGCTTACTGCTTAATTAGTGTGTCTTCAGTGAATATATGAATATATGGTTTACGCAAATCAGTTGTTTAATTTAATGTTTGTTTCAGTATGGAAGTATATGATGAAAAGTGTAAACAAATAAGTGTAAAGATAAGTTGAGATCTTCGTTTTTTACATAATGATTCGCTGTTATTGTGTTTCTGAGCCTCATCAAATGATGGCCTTGCTGATAGCAAAATGGACTTTCGGTCTGCATGTGTTGAGGTAAAGATATTTAATCTCAACGAATACTTAACAGATATAAAGCCTATTGATTAATAATACATATACAAAGTGTACCGCAGGTCTATTGAATTGTTATCATTATCTAACGTCTATGTTGTATGCTAATGTATTTTGTCTTGTACTTCTGTAATGACATGTGTAGAAGAGGACTTACATAGGCTCTGCCTGATGTCCGATCCCCTTGTCATATATGTGTTTATATGTCAATAAAATTTATTCTAAATTGAATACGCCATTGACATGTTTCTTTACTGCAAACATACTTTTTCACATACAGAGTATTGTACATTTATTTAGCTCCTCGAAAATAAATATTTTGAAGATCGCTTTTTCGATGATTCAAATTTTCGTGGGTTTGCCAGAAGTTTGAAGTAAAATGGTCGCACACTTCATGGCAACTGGCAATGATTTTCCTTTGAAATATTATCTTTATTATGTTTCATCAATGTTATTTTCGAGCTTCTTTTTTGGGACGTTAATCCATCCTCGAAAATAAAAATTAGAACCCAATGAAAACTAACCCCACCCCTCCCCCCCCCCTCCCCCTTTACAGAAAGACACAACAGTCTTCTATAGTTTCGATTCGCTATATGAGAATATTTTGTATATTTATAATGAATTCATTCAGTGTTCAAACGGTCATTCAAATTGTGTTATCGTCAATTTCTTCTCCGAATTTGAGCCGTTGGGAAGCACTGTTGTCAGTTTTGTCACCAAATGACTTTTTGTCCATGAAACAATTGCAAATTTCTTTATATCATTGGAAATAATCTGCGAAACGCATATGTCAATCTCTTCATGTGATGATGAAATGGTTTATGAAGAACAATTTCGAACTGCATCACTGACATTCAAATCGTCAATGAAGCGTTTGCCAACTTAATGATAAAATTACTAAGCTTTGTAAAGTTTGTAAAGTTGCATCCTTTCACGGATCATAAGTAGTACATATGCCTATCTTCCAGTATAAAAAATCAAATTTTAACAAAAATACCCCGTCCATTCACAAAGAAATGTCAAATGTTGCTAAATCAAGTTCAAAGTCTACAAATGTGAAATCAACAACGTGTTTTATTACATTTGGCGTTCATATAAACATAAATGTCAAATTCATATATTTCACACGAGAAATTCTATTGTGAACTTGTCCACAATATTTCATGTTTGATCAAATCGGTTGTTTATTTTAATATTTGGTTCAGTATGGAAGCCACAACTGCTATGTACTGTAAAATATAAACAATTCAGCGTCAAACTCAGATCTTCATATGTACATATCTTATTATATCTATCATTAGTTATCTTACCTGACAATCAAGTTACATGTTTGTGCAAGTAACATAGATAAAAGACTGTTAAACTCGAAACATTCTAATCGATTTTGTACAGTGAAATAGTGATATACGAGTTTGGATTTTGTTTTAAATATTGGTGAGTTACAGGGGGCAGATAAAATGATACACATGTAAGCTTATTTGCATGGTACATGAATTTGTCACATTTACATTTCACGGTCCATTAGTCACACACGATATAAATACTACTAACAAAAATCACGGTACAGAGATGCATTCATATATAAATGAAACAAGATACATTTGTAAGACTTATCTCCCCTGTGTAAACGTGGTCATAGATGTTGTCCAGTTTTCAGCTCATCAACATTGTATAATTGCCCGTTACATACGTCTCATAACGCCGAGTTGGTGTCGACAGTTGGGACACGAGTGTATGACATCTTTGAAGATGTTCACGCAAAACGGTATTAAACAACATCCTGCTACCAAGCTGCAAAAAGAAAATTCAAAACTCTTAAGATCCAAATAAACTTTAGTGAGATAATTTAATATTGTACTGTACTGCCAATTAATATCCATGCATTCCCATTCTCGACGAAATATTTTTCGATATCACCAAAGGCCAACCTGATTATGAAACAGCAATGATATCCTATTTTGGAACTAAAGTAAAACAATATGAATACCCAAGAAAGAACAAATCGAAAATTAATATGACGTCACCATCTGACGTCACCATACTGAAATATATGCATTTTGGAATTATGTGGCGTGTTAATTTAACAGATTGATGCAATGATGCAAGTGCAAATGTAAAACTGCAGTGACTGTAAAGTCAAACAATTCGTTCAACGTTATCACACAGATGCTTCGTCCTGCTAGGACACGTCAGCAATGCTAAAGACATAAATGTTGAAATACAGAAGGCTATAGAGGAAAACAAATTGTTGAGAAGAAAATTGACATTTACTTTCAGCAATTAGCATTTTAAAATAAGTTTTGAGCAAAAAATGCATTAATGGTTGTGGTTAAATTTCAATTATTAAGGGCTTTTGCTTTTTGCTTTTTTGTTGGTTTTTGTTTGTTTGTTTTGTTTAAATTTATTTATTTATTTTTTTGTATATATCTAATCACTTTCCACGTGATGTAAGTAGTTACCCCAATACACAGCAGACAATGGATATTAGATACACCATCATGCCGGTCTCGTAGTGAATGGACGTGAGCACTTCCTGGTGGCAGGCATCACACTTCATCCTGATTGGTTCTTCATTGAACGCATCCTTGGGTGGTACAAACCTCGGTTGATTAATAATCACTGTGGTTCCTCCACCCGGGGGCGCATACGCAGGATTGGCTGCGAAGAAATCAATATCTTCTGTATATAATTAGGAAAAGAAAATTCCGTGTGTTTTAACGAATCATGATTCAAAAAGGTTAAAACAAAGAACGTTACTTATAGATGTCAAGATGTTTTATCCAACTTCTAGATTTCCACATATCAAGCCCCTAGCATAAGTAACGAGTCCTTGGAAGGACGGCACAGCCGTGTACTTCAGTTTGTTCCTTAATACTGTTTCTATTAAAACAATTATTGATAGTGAATTTTTCACAATGATAATCTATGCATGGTACTTTCAAACAAAAAAGCGAATAATTAAAACGAAATTGAAGTGTCTATATTTAGATCATATGTATACTGTACGCTCTTCTTTTTGTCTATGGTTACAGACAACCGTAAACATAGCGGTTAGGATAACTATATTTTGATTGTAATAGCTGTTTTTTCATCTACTAAACAAAAACAGTTATTCCAAACTTGATACTCGAAAGAGAAAATCCAGATATTGTGCGGTAGTGGTATTGTATATGTGTTTGGTGCTAAGATATTCAATAGCGGGGGTTATATAGAATAAAATATCCTCAACCTTATGTAACCCTATACGAAATCGTCTGAGAATACAAAATAAATTACATACCTTTGAATGAATTTATGGAAATTACATCAGAAAATTTTCTTTTACTTACTAGGTCCATAACCCTCCGCCGGGGGCTGAGCTGAAAATGAAAATACTTTACATCACATGATTATAACACATTAATCGTTATTTTGAAGACTCTGAATAGATAACGGAATCCAAATAAAAATTATTTCAATTTTAATGAGACAAAATAATATTACACCGAGTTAAACCCTTGAGACTATGTTGAGAATACTACTCTATTGATTATTAGTTACAAAAGTATCTTTAGAGTACGTTATTTCATAATGCATGTGTTGGCAATCACTCACCTCTAGGGGGCGGGGCTCCATGGGAGTATCCTTGTTGTGGCTGCTCACTCTCGTTAAGGTTCCGGCTGTTGTTGTCGTCTAGATAGTAAAAGACGAAGTTAAGTAAATATACAAAAGCATTGCAAGTACCGCTTTTTGTGGAATTGTTTTTTTATTGGACTTTTAAAACTGAAGTTTTCGTTTGAAATCTACCTCGCAAAATTACTATCAGAAATGTATTATCCTCGTAACGAAAGTGATATTTTAACAGTTCATCATCATTTTCAGTAAACGTAGTATGTCTTTGGTTGATCCTGCTCCAAAGGACAAAATAAATGGATGATTTGAAAATGTAAATTTATCAACATTTGACTTTTGGTATTTACATTGTAATATCACGAACTAAGACAGTAAGTCTGCGGTTATATGTCAACCTCCAAAACATTTCTTCATTATATGAACGAAATCAGTGCTAAGAGTGTTATCACAAGATTACCGTGTACTTCAGTCCATGGCCTCATTTTAGATGACATATTGGAGGCCAGGATTAGATAACGAAAAGACATCATACAGGGTTAAACTAGACATGAAAGCATATGGATGACCTATAGCCATCATGTTCCGTCCGTCGTCGTGCGCTGTTCGCTGTCCACCGTGTGTAAACTTTCCATTCAAATACCTTCTTTTCATTAACCAAAAGACCCAGGTGCTGATATTGGATCTGTAGCATGATGGATTAAGGGTTACCAAGTTTGTTGAATATGTTAAAATCTTTAAATGATTTTTCAATAACAAGGTCCAGGATGCTGATATTTGGCTTGTATGATGCTAGGATGGAGGGCTACCAAATTTGTTTATATGAATGACCTTCATCTGCTTTCAAGATCACAGAGGTCAAATGTGTCGAAATATTTAAACGACTTTTCAATTACAAAAAGGCCGAGGGTGCTTATATTAGGCCTGCTACATGATGGAATGAAGGGCTATCAAGTTTGTTCAAATGTATTACCTTGGCCTACTTTCAAGGTCACGGGTCAAATAGATTAAAATCTTCTCAATAACCAAAAGGCCCAGAGTGTTGATAATCGGCCCGTAGCATTCACGAATACAGGGTTTCCAGTTTGTTTTGTTCATGTGATTGACATTTTCACGTTTAAAAGGTCACAGGGGCTAAATGAGTTAAAATATTCAAACGACTTCTTCTCAATAACAAAAAGATCCAGGCTGTTGATATTAGTTCTTTGATATAAGTGGATGAAGGGCTGCCGATTTGTTCAAATAATTGACCTTGACCTATATTGAAGATATCTTGGGATAAGTGCGTTGAGATCTTAAAATTTCTTTCTCAACATGCAATAAGTTCGGAGTAATGGCCTTTGTGTAGTAGCAGGTGTTTTTTAATGAACCAACAACATGCTTCCTTGTAAGCTGTAGAGTAGCTGAGCAATTCATTTTAGGCCTATTTGTCTTTATATTCAGATGACCGCTATGGCCCATGGACTTATTGTTCGTGATTTATTTTTAGTATCAGAACTTGTTTATATAATTATCGATATGAAGCTTGGTGATATAATCATTAACAGTTTCTCTTTATGACATATTTGATATCAAACACTGGTGATATATAATTTACTGGTTTTTCGTGAAAAATATAGATAATTTGTCACACTCCGCACTTCGTCGAATTTCAATGCAGTGAATAGAAAACACCGTTCTGATGGGTCAAATTCCTACATTGCACTGTCAAAAATGTAAACAATTTATTAACAGGTTTCCATAATCTAATACAAGTACAATCATTATTTATTATCAACCAGCTGTCCTAGCACTCAGTAGGAATTTTAACCTTCAATGTCACAAATATTGTCAATGTTTTTTTTTTTTTTTTTTTTTGCTTCAGATTTCTACCGATATCTTTTTATCGTTATCGTTGTTATCGTGTTATTATCGTTCCTAATCTTATTTTCAACAGATTTTTTTCCGTCGGCGAAAATTTGAACCACCCAAAAATAACTATCTTTACAGTAAGTAAGAAATATTGAATTATACAATTATGAAGATTCTTATCCGTTTATAGAAAATGTTTTGAGCTTTAATGATAATCTGCAGCTCCAGCAACGTTTCTGAAATGACAATGAAAAACGTTTTATAACATTCTTTGTCCTACATATGTACAATCGAAACACGTTATCTCGAACCTGTATAACTCAAAGACACCGTTTGATTCGAAGCATTGCGTCGGTCCCTGCTTCACTTTACACAAAACATTTGATATAGAATACTCGGTTTTTCTATGACCCCCAACGTGTTTGAAATGACATGGTTCGACGGTATATATCAAACTTATTATCTCTGCCTTGGCTGTTGAAATATAGATTTTATCCCTCTTATTTTGTAGTTTATAACATACTGATATTTTCCTCAGGATTCAATTTCATTTTTATGAAAAGTTTGAATTCATTTTCGATAATTAAACTTAAGATTTGTCTTTCATACCGTACAACATTTATATCTATTTCTATGATGGAGTTGCTTAGAGCAAGCCAATTGGATTCTCCAGTCAATTCTTTGTACTTCTTGGCCATGTGTCTATTCTTTTATTGTTGTTGAAACAACGTAAGAGACTGGTTACCGATATTGATCAGCCTATGTTTGGAAAACTGAGCTGAATGTAGCCTCGCACACAAGGCTGATTTGATACTTAGTTTCTGACCAGTGTCAAGAAGTTGCCAAAAGGTGTTCTCATCATCACAATCATCACAATCATGTAGGTTAGTTGTTTAAAAATTAAAATCAATCAGCCCCAAACAGATCGATATAAATAGGACGAAATAAATTCTACGTGGTGTTATATATATATCGACATGCACGTGCAATAGTGTACTAAGTAGGTAACTGAGGTGATATGAGTTGCCACGTTTAGCTTTATGCAACTGTTGCAGACTGCGGTACAATCTCCGGAAATATCGATCTTAATTAAGAAATTATAGGTTGTTATGTAGCAACTGAAACAACATCTATCTAATTATAGTAACATCTATCTGATCACCTGCCAACACTTAAGATAACTTGGTGCGTCTCTAACATGGAGGTCATTATCACTTCTGAACAGTTTGATATTGGGTCATTTTGTATGTTAGTGTTTACCTGCCGATAACATATATCTTCTTGATTTTATATCATTTATTTTTAAATATACATTGCAAAAAAGTAAATTGCAAGATATTGAATAGAATATTTTGAACAAATACATAACAAAGTTGTATATGAATTACGAGATTTTGAATACGAGTCACAATATTCACTATGTAAAATACGTATCTTGAAAGGTAAAATCAGATTAAAAAGATGTAAAATATCTTGCAAATGTTTTATAATATGAATCACATCATTAGCAATAGAAAACACAACTGTAATAATATAAAAACTAACGATAGATATGAATAAAAAATTGACAACAAGAATTATGATGTAAACAATTTAAATCACAGCTCTAAACTATAATATAAGAATTACAACTATAATCCTACAATTATATATCGGATGTGAGCCTTGTATTGAAAACATTAAGCAAATATGTCCTTTTTCATCTCTACTAATCCCTAACTATTTCAGGCTGTGTAACCGAAGGCTTGTCCCATTTGGCTGGTTTATGTCGAAGAATTAACATTCTTAAGTAAACAAGACAATTGACTTTTTGCAAAATGGACAAAATCGCTGAAAGAGCAGTGATTTGATATTTGCACAAGAAAGGTCTAGGACCTATATGCATATCCATACTGATATGGCATCAACACTAGAGAATGATTTTCCTTCATATGCTACAGTGGAAAAATAGGTGGCGGAATTTAAGCGTGGCAGGCAGTGCCGTGGGAATGACGCCCATCCTGGAAGGCCTGTCACTATTGCAACACAGAAATGGTCAATAAAATCCATGATACTCTTATGGCTGACGGGCTAATTAGATAAGATATATGTCCAGTACATTTTGGATTTCACAGGAAGGAGTACATTCCTTTCTCATGGAAGATCTTCCAATGAGAAAGCTCTCAGCTCGTTGGACGTCAAGACTTCTGACAATTGATCGGAAGTCCACCAGGTGGACTTTGTCGCGTGCTAATCTGAACATTTTAGAGGTAGATCTTGCTAACCTTCTGCAGAGGTTTGTGACTATGGATGAAATGTGGGTCCATTATATCACCCCACAGGCCAAACAACTGTCAAAACAATGGAAATACCCCTGTTCACCCCCTGCGAAAGAAGGCTGTTCTAACAGCAGGAAAGGTTATGGTTTTCTGGGATGCTGATGATATTGTGATTGTAGATTATCTACAAATGGGACAAACAATCAATGACACTTAATATGCATCACTTCTTAGGTAGTTAATAGAAAATATTAAACGCAAGCGCCGCGAAAACCTCAGTAAAGGTGTTATGTTCCAAGAGGACAATGCCCCTGTTCACAAGTCTGTCATTGCCAAGACTACCATTAACGATTGTGACTTTGAATTGATAGAGCATCCGCCTTATTCGCCTAATCTCGCCCCAGCATGCTGTCATGTATTTTGTTTGAGAACGCCTGAAGAACTCTTATACTTGACATCTTAATCATCACAAAATATAAGGCATGTATCCTTATTCTCCTTAACTCAAATAACGTTTTCCGTCGGACAGGTTTCAAAATCTTCCATCGAAGAACGTTTTCATACCTTTTCTTACTGTTGTTGAAAAATCAATATTTCAATATTACAGTTAGCATTGTTGGCCATTATGGTATTAGTCACCAGAAATAGCAAAATCTATCATGTTGTGGTGACTCCCTACTCAAAGGTCGCTGCAATTTCACAACTTGAACCGGGAAACTGTGATACAATGATGAATTACACAAGAAGAAATCTAATACGAGAGACGGTTAGGAATAAGGCGGTATCTTCGTGTCGAAATAAGTTAACACTGGTAAACATGCTCTTCTTTTGTGTGGCATCTCTTCCTTTTAGTGCATTTACGGTGTGAGTCTTTCTGCGTCTAGATAAGTAGGAATACAGTAGGATGTGTACAACATTAAGTACCTGGTGATACGAAAACTATTTCTAACTGATGAGTTTGACAACGGTTTTACCTGATGACGGGTAGGGTGGCGGGGCCGGAGCGTCCTCCATTGAAACCTTTAGAAAATCGTCCGACATTCTGTTCCAAAAAGTTGAAAATTGTACAAGTCAATAGCACCTTTCAATTCAAATTTAAAGTCAGATACAGTAGAACCAAACAATGAAAGCAAAACTGCACCACACATCTGTTTCGTCCTTCTCGGACCTGTCAGTGATGTTAAGAGCGTAAGTGTTGAAACCAAAGCGACGACTGAGAACATCAACATAATCATAATTTTCAATATTGTTTGATTTCAAATGAACGTCAAATACATCAGTGAATTAAAAGGTGACATGCAAGTTACCGTAAACCTCGGTGACAAAAATCCTCCGTTTGAGCTTTCTCAAAGGGTTGTGCAAAGGCACAGTAAGTGAAACGCATTTACAGGAACAAAACATGCCATTTGAGTATATAAAATGATCCTTCAAAGGACACACAAAGGTAGTACGTAGACTTGGTACCTTTACTAGATATTCTGTATCTATATTAAAAATAAAAACCAAACGAAACTTTTAAACAAATTTTTATCTTCCATGGACTCATCAATGGTGTCTATTTCAGAAAGAGAAGAAATCTGACAAAAAAGTTCAAATCGATCAAAATCAACGTTACAATACAGATATGCTGTCTTTAGATGTTAGAAATATGGAGAGTACATACCGAACAAGAATTGTGATAAAATTTAAGTATATACTTTTCAACTGGTACGAACGCCAATTCACAAATACACAGCAAACGCCAACCCGGAGAAAATGTTTCATAAAACAATTCTATAAGTTGGTTCCATCCTGCCTCGTTACGACTCTTATGATACGACTCTTGATAATCATCCACACTAGATAATTCCGAAATGTATTAAAATATGTGGAAATCGCGCTTCCTCACTATGTATTCCAATCATTTGTATTTATTTTCCTTTATCGCCTCCTCGGTTTCAAACCTTTAGGTTCCAATCATCATTGATGGATCTTAGAAGGACGAAACAGATGTATGATACAATGTAATTCATTGTTTCGCTCTATTCTATTTCGTTCTACATTAGTATTCACGTGTTTGTCTTCCGTAAAATCATCACAGATCAAACGAAAGAAAAAGTAACTGGTACCAAACAATGTGTTACTGTACATACAAATAATATATTCTTATATCCGAAAGATCAAAACATCAAGAACACATAGGAAAAGGCATTACGCAATTCGCCTCTTATCCAGTGAATTCCTCGATGTAACATTTCTGCATAGTTATCACTGGTATTATCTACTCTAGAACGTATTTAGATAATGATGTTACGTCATGCATTGAAAGTGGCGTAACATAATGGCTGCTTTCTTTTTTATTTGTCCTCTACATTCTGACTTTCAAACCTGTCAAAATGTAACGTCTTCCTGATTTTGTGATTAATAAAATCTTGGATTTGTTTCTTTTAGTTCTTATGAGATTTTATGAAACTCGGCTTGCTGTGATTCTCAGAAATGAAAAAAAAATTCTTTGACTAGTTTTATAACATCCCATAAGAAATATTATATATATATATATATATATAAACTTTATTTCTTTTACAACAATTGCGGAACAAGTTTCAATATTATATTAATCACTCTCGTTTGCCTAAATGGAACCGTCCGAGGAGTCTTGGTGTGAGATGAAACCGGAGTACCCGGAAAAAAACCCACATGGTTAGTAAGGTCACCCCATACATTTTCACGACTGTGCCGCGAATCGAACCCCTGATACCTTTGTGAAAGGCGAGAGTGTTTCAACTGTGCCATTCGACTACTAATATTTAGTGAAAATAGAAGATTGACATAGACACACACAAGTGAATAGCATTCTTAAATACAAATTTCGAGTTAGATAGAGAAGAGCCAAACAACGTCATATACTGCATCATACAGCTGTTTTGTCCTTCTAGCACTCGTCAGTTATGCCAAGGGCCTAAATTTTGAAGTCTGAGAGGCGACTAAGGGAAATCCGAAGTAACCGAAAGTAAAGTCAGAATCAAGACGGGGAGGTGCAGCAGCTCGATAAATCTCGTAATTTCTACCTACATGATAATTATAGTCGAGATTTTGAACCTTGACACTATTCGAATGAAATGAAAATGGAGGGGGGCGGGGAGGTGGCAAATTCGATAACTGAAACAATATTTAGTATGATCGTGCTATATTTGAAATATGAACGTTACCAAAATACTGTATTGCAACTCATGATAATTTTATATAAGTTCCTTGCGCGAGAATTATTTCTCTGCTACAGTATACAGCTATATAGTTAATTAGTGCGGTGACTTGGCTTTCTCAGCTACAAGACTTATCGCCCGGTGTCCAGACATTGCCGATAGAACACTCTACCAAATCAATCCTAATTAATAATTTACAGTCATTCCGTTTCTACGCTAAGGAAACGATGTAGATCAAATTAGAAATTATGCTTTATGTAGCATATATATTCTTTCTAAATATTGGAATAAAAGGATCTGTGAAAAATGCTTTGAAACAGTTTATACACTGTAATGTCTTATATTACTTACACACATATATAGATAGAAATACTTATCTTACCTGCCGGTATGGTGTTGAAAGGCGTGTATACAGCGAGGTAGATATCCAGGTAACTAACTACAAACGTCATCTCTTGGCGTTATATTAACGGTAGAGAGGGATGTCTACATGTTGCAGATACAGGTATACATAGAAAACCAATTTATTTTGTGTGTAACGAATAGGTAAAGAAAGCAGGGGATAGGTTTTGGGGTTGGTTGGGTGCAGGGGTTATAAAATTTTTATTTATTCATTTTTATTTCACGGTCAGGGGTCAGACTCTCACTCCAATATCCAATATCATGAGATGCATTGACTATTAAAATCATAGCCTGTTTAATTATGAAAATGAACTCTGGGCCCATCGCGGATCCATTTTCAACGTTACACCGGAAACAGACTGTCATGACCGGAAAAACGTTTTGAGAAGAGGAATAGTCAAACACGAAATTTAGAAACATTATGACCGGAAACAGACTGTAAGACGCGTAGTAAATATAGAAAATGGGAATGGATAAATGTAATCTGCGTTGATTACATCTTGACCAGAAACAGATTGTCAGTATCATGGGTTTGAGATTGGATGACACTGACCGGAAACAGACTGTCAGACGCGTATCATGGGTTTGAGATTGGATGACACTGACCGAAAACAGACTGTCAGACGCGTATCATGGGATTGAGATTGAATCACACTGACCGGAAACAGATTGTCAGTCGCGTATCATTGGTTTGAGATTGGATGATACTGACCGAAAACAGATTGTCAGGCGCGTATCATGGGTTTGAGATTGGATGACACTGACCGAAAACAGACTGTCAGGCGCGTATCATGGGTTTGAGATTGGATGCCACTGACCGAAAACAGACTGTCAGGCGCGTATCATGGGTTTGAGATTGGATGACACTGACCGAAAACAGACTGTCAGGCGCGTATCATGGGTTTGAGATTGGATGACACTGACCGAAAACAGACTGTCAGGCGCGTATCATTGGTTTGAGATTGGATGACACTGACCGAAAACAGACTGTCAGACGCGTATCATGGGTTTGAGATTGGATGACACTGACCGAAAACAGACTGTCAGGCGCGTATCATGGGTTTGAGATTGGATGACACTGACCGAAAACAGACTGTCAGGCGCGTATCATGGGTTTGAGATTGGATGACACTGACCGAAAACAGACTGTCAGGCGCGTATCATGGGTTTGAGATTGGATGACACTGACCGAAAACAGACTGTCAGACGCGTATCATGGGTTTGAAATTGGATGACACTGACCGGAAACAGATTGTCAGACACATTACCAGGGTTTGAAATTGGATGACACTGACCGGAAACAGACTGTCAGACGCGTATCATGGGTTTGAGATTGGATGACACTGACCGGAAACAGACTGTCAGACGCGTATCATGGGATTGAGATTGAATCACACTGACCGGAAACAGATTGTCAGTCGCGTATCATTGGTTTGAGATTGGATGATACTGACCGAAAACAGACTGTCAGGCGCGTATCATGGGTTTGAGATTGGATGACACTGACCGAAAACAGACTGTCAGGCGCGTATCATGGGTTTGAGATTGGATGACACTGACCGAAAACAGACTGTCAGGCGCGTATCATGGGTTTGAGATTGGATGACACTGACCGAAAACAGACTGTCAGGCGCGTATCATGGGTTTGAGATTGGATGACACTGACCGAAAACAGACTGTCAGACGCGTATCATGGGTTTGAAATTGGATGACACTGACCGGAAACAGATTGTCAGACACATTACCAGGGTTTGAGATTGGATGACACTGACCGGAAACAGACTGTCAGACGCGTATCATGGGTTTGAGATTGGATGACACTGACCGGAAACAGACTGTCAGACGCGTATCATGGGATTGAGATTGAATCACACTGACCGGAAACAGATTGTCAGTCGCGTATCATTGGTTTGAGATTGGATGACACTGACCGAAAACAGACTGTCAGACGCGTATCATGGGTTTGAGATTGGATGACACTGACCGGAAACAGATTGTCAGACGCGTACCCAGGATTTGCGATTGCATGACACTAACCGGAAACAGACTTTCAGACGCGTTTCCAGGGTTTAAGATTTGATGGCAGTTACCGGAAACTGACTGTCACAGGCGTATCCGGGTTCGAGATTAGATGACACTTCTCTGAAACAGACTTTCACACGCGTATCCAGGGTTTGAGAATGGATTACGATTACCGGAAACAGACTGTCAGAGGAGTATCCGGGTTCGAGATTGGATGACACTGACCGGAAACAGACTGTCAGGCGCGTATCCGGGTTCGAGATTGGATGACACTGACCGGAAACAGACTTTCTCACTCGTATCCAGGGTTTGAGATTGTATGACACTAACCGAAAACAGATTTTCAGACCCGTATCCAGTGTTTAGGATGGAATGACACTTACCGGAAACAGATTTTCAGACGCGTATCCAGGGTTTGAGATGGGATGACGCTTA